TTATAAATTATCAAGGGCTCATGAGGAATGGGGGAGCGGGGAGGGAGGGGGAAAATGAGGACCTAATGCCGGGGGCTTAATTGGAGAGGAAATATTTTGAGAATGATGAGGGCAATGAATGTACAAATGCGCTTTACACAATTGATGTGTGTATGGATTCTGATAAGAGTTGTATAAGCCCCTAATAAAATGATTAAAAAAAACGAACAGCTATAACAAAATAGAGAAAACCTTCAGTTGAAAAGAAAACAGAAAAGATTAAAAACTGGAACAACTTTAAAATAGGTCCAAATGGAGACCAAGTGATAAAGTGGATAAGGTGTTAGATTTCATCCTAACTACATCTGCCATAATCCACTTTCCAATGATCCACTTTTCATGATAGCAAAGCTATTCACATCCCTGTTTGTGCTCAGAGGGACTCCACCAGAGACTTAATCTATGTGTATTTCCCTTCACTTTAACAAAACCTGATAATAACTTTTAAATGGCTCCAAAGTACGATCGAATAGGATGTTACATTTTAACTGACTATATGACTCTTATGATTGTCTCTGCAATACTCTGTTTTATAACAAGGGATGTTTTCACATCCCTCTAGTATGGTCGGAGGATATACCAGAGGCTTAATCCATGTGTGAATTTTGGGCTTCCACTGTCATTCAGAGCCTTCTGCAAATCAGATATTCACAGTTTAAGCTCTGATATAATTTCCTCCTTCTGATTTGGATTTGATTATGTACAATCCTTGATCACACAGGCTGGTGTGCTTTTTCTATGTGTACTTAGTTGGCACTTCACTTAGCAAGCTTCTTGTTTTAAGACAAGCCTTTAAAATCCCAGAAGCTATTCTTTCTGATAGTTGGCCACCATCTGGTTTCTTTACCACACTTTGCTGTAGCACTCATTTTCAGTTATCTCTTCTTGAGCACAAACATTGAGCAAGACCGTGTCATAAAAACTAATTGTTTATAGATTGAGGCTAGAATTAAGTTTGAGCCCCAAATCCATTAATATATCTATGGTTTATATATGTCTGTGATTCACCTTAGAGATATTCTTGACATTTTTTGTTAGAGAACATTGTTGATCATCTTCCTGGGGCACACGGTAATTCTGTTGTTTAGCCAATGGTAAAAATTTTAGTTTAGCCAATGGTAAAAATTTTAAAGTACAATTGAGAAAATTAATTATATAAGTTGGCTATGAACCGCAGTATATGAATTATTGACATGTATAGATTAAATTCTTAAATGACTGGACACTGTTTACACAAACAGTGGGTGTGGCAATAAGGCAAAACTTTCAGTAATATTCACTGACAGTAGCAGAGCCAGGTCTATCAGATTAATACATATCTTAATGAAGCAAGAAGGGCATTGAAATATTAAGTGTATAGTAGTTCCAGTATATGGAAGTTCCCTTTTACTACAGATTAAGTTAGTAAATTACTACTGAAAACGTTGGAGTTCCTTGATTGTGCGAAGTATTGAAGCTGTTGGCTGCTCACTGAAAGGTCACACTTTGAGTCTACCTAGAAGTGCCTTGGAACAAAGGTTTAGCAATACACATCTGAAAAATCAGCATTGACACATGTAGGGGGTCATCAGGTGTCAGAGATAACTTGATGACACCTGGTTTTATTGAAGGTTTGAAGGGTGCAAAAGGAATCTGCATGGTAAACCAGCTAGTCTCAGAATGCATGTTGTCAGTTCAAGTGTACCTGTCATGGAGTTTTTTACTTTAAGGTCGGAGTGCGTCATACTCATTGCATAAGGTTAACTATGATCTCTTATAACAGAGTGAATTCAATGCATACAGTCAAGAAGTAATTAGCATCCTTGGAGAAATAGATCATGTGTTGGAGAAGCTTCCAGAATGGGTTACTCCTAAACTAGCTGAGAAGAACCTGCTCACCATGCTGGATGAGGCCTATGTTCATTCAGAGCCCTTGGGAGTCGTTTTGATTATTGGAGCTTGGAACTACCCTTTTGTTCTCACCATCCAGCCACTGATAGGAGCCATTGCTGCAGGTCTGGTGCCAGTTTGTGTCTTTATTTATTCCTTATTAGAGGGACTTATTCTCCCCTATTGGTTGTAAATTAAGGATTGTGGTTAATGTAATATGTTCTTTTGACCGTTTGATTTGGATTATTCCAGCAGTGTATTGAGAATTCATAATTATAATGGTTTTTTTAAGTTAGACTCCAGGGGAGATTTGCATGATGACTGTTTTGAAGCATGCAGACAGTGCATATGTGAGGGTGTAAAGACATCTGAGTCAACAAACCCCAAGAATTTGAAGTCAGGCGTTCTTTTTGTTGTTGTTAATGCATTTTTTTTTTTTTTTGCCTTGGATATTGGATATACCCTTTTATTCTATTTGAGCAGTTTCTTCCTTCAAATGAGTCCTATCTGTGGAGTCATGCCGCCTTGGGCATGTAACACTGTCCATAGATTAATTTATCGCTGCTGCAGGTTTGGAGTGACAACTTTGTGTTGCCATAGTCTGTGCCTGGCACTTTAATCACAGACAGGACAATCCAAGAGTGAGAGTGGGGAAAAGTGACGGCTAAAGGAGTGGGGGAACTCATTGACCCCATTGCTAATGACCAGAAAATAAAGAGAAGTGAAGAGTTAGCTTTTGAGAACAGAAGCAAAAAGGTAAAGAGAATAAAGCAGGCTCTTATGTCCATTATGAGGAAGACTAGAATTAAGAGCTGGAGACATACTTTAAAGACAGCCTATATTTTACACATGATCGCTGTTTTGGTAGCTATTAAATTTACTATGAAGTCAAATAAAGTATTAGATAACATGTCCTCCTTTTGGCTTTGTTTAGGAAATGCTGTGATTATCAAGCCTTCGGAGCTAAGTGAAAATACAGCCAAGGCCTTGGCTAAGCTTCTTCCTCAGTACTTAGACCAGGTAAGAATGTCTGGCATACACACATTTGATTTCCTAATAATACATGTTTACTGATGGCAGGAGATCTGTTTTCATGTTCCTTAAGCTTTATACAATTGGCTTAGTAAAGATCATTCCAGGGCTATTTGGAATGATCCAGCCGTTCCTGGTTACGTAACATGCTTAGGCTGATGGCTTCAAGAGACATGTGTTATCTACAAACCCTTTCCTATTATTTATAATTTTATTACTATGAAATAAGATTTAAATGTATTCATTCCATAAATTATTTGAGCGATTGGTACTGCGCTGTGTGCTGCAATACTTTGCTGGTAATAGTTTCTTTTGCCTAATGAGTTGCACAGATTACTTTCTGGCATTTAAAGGGGGCGTATTTGTGGCAAGAAAACTACAAGAGAAAAATGTTGATCCAAATGATGAATCCTTAAAAAGAGTTAAAGTTTAACTCTCTCCGAGTCATCTTGCACTCTCCTTGTGAAGAAGCTAATCATGACATCCTGAAATTTGGTCTGCTAAGTTCCAAAGGAATTGCTGCAGAAAGAATTCCACATGTAGTGTTCATTAAATGGCACTTTTAAGTATACCTGCAACTGTACACCTTAATTTATAGTAGCCTTGAGGCTATCTCTGGATTAATGTTTTTCTCTTTGTTGTCTTACCACTGTTGTAGCAGCATACAGAACAATTTTGTTGTTATACCTGTAGTTAACCAATATAGCAGGATGAAATGAATGAACTGAGTAAGATTTGGAACCAGAAGATTGAAATTTAAGTTCTGTTCTACCTGGAATAAATTCTTCAATATCTGACTATCAAAACAGGGTTACTAATATCCTACATGACTCTCTTTGCCTGCTGGTGATTAGTCAGATATGTTCAGGAAATAGTGTGGCCTGAACTACTTCTGCTACAGAAGGGAGAAGGAGTATCCCAACTCCACACTATCCCAAGGCTGATTTCAAAGAGGCAGAGATCTGCCATATTTCCCTATCCAACTTTCTTAACTCTATTATGACACCAGTCATCCCTCTCATAGCACTTTACTCTCCTGAGGACAGTAATCCGTTACAGTGGCCACACACACAATACTCATGATTATGGGAGTTTTATAGAGAGGCAGCACAAAAGAGGAAGACCCTCAGCAGACCTTAGTGACTGCTGATAGGAACAATTGTGAGGGTAGTGCAGGTTTGGGCATCGTTTCATTCTGGTGTATATAGGGTCGCTATGGGTTGGAATCAGTTAGATGGCACATAACTAATTTCCATAACTAACAAGTTAATAGGTCACAGCAAGTCAAGATTAGAAAGCAATAATGATACAATTGTTTGGTCTGCAATACCTTTTCTTAGCCATACTGACAGGCATATCTCTCTCCGTACCTCAGCCTCTCAGTCACATGGCCCCTAGACCTCTGCTTTGCTTGTACCACTCTACCAGCCTTCTGCCTGAAGGCACTCAGCTGTACTCATTCTGGGCATGTGAAGCCTATTGCTCTGTGTCATGATACTAACATGTTAATATCTGCTCTGTTGTATGTTTTTGGTTCTGTGGCCTCTAGTTCACCTGCTGCCTTGACCACATCAGGCAGGATTTCACACACACTCTGCTGGTGGCTTTAAAAAAACTTTTTTTTAATGGTTCTGGGATTCCTTGTTCCTGTTTCTGAAATGCCTTATTTATACCCAGTGGAATGTTAAAACGGACCAATTCCAAATTAAAAATACGCTAATATTGGACTTATAGACTTGATTTGGACAAGGCTGGTATGTTTTCTCAATATACAATTGTTCTTTGATATAAAGCTCTCTCTTACACATAAATGAACGTTCCTGGATTTGTTTCTCTAGTCACCCTGACCTAACACATTATGGTATTTTGGGAGTGGGTTACCAGAGAAACAAATCATGAAGATAGAGAGTGTTTGCTTGTTTGATCTCTGCTTTATGGTAGCTTTTCTTTGGCTAGCTGGAGGTCAGATATAGCCACACTCTTTACTTGATTGTTTCTGTAAAGGACATGGGAAGTGAAAATTTTGATTCCTAGAAGTTGTCTTTGATTAATCCTGTCTGAAATGGCAACAATGAATGTGATCAATGTACATTTTGAGCTAAGGGGGTGAATTTTCCACTTGAACGTTTCCTCTGAGAACATACTTCTTAGTCAAAATGGCTGACAGAAAGCCTGGCCCTGACTTGATGAAGTCAGAAGCCTAAGGCCATATTTTGTATTAATAGAATAATTTGGATAAGGATTGAATTTGACTTTTAAGAATTCATTTTAGTATCTGGCTGGCTGTGCTAGGATTATATTGATTTTTTTCTGTCTATTGATGTTGATATAATGTATAATAGAAATGATTATTGGTAAGTAAAAGTAGAGTTTGTAAGCCTACTTTCCTTGAGACATTAAATTAGACCTTTAAATGAGTGTAGGACAGGCCTGCAAAAAAGACTTTGAAAAGATAAGCCCCACCCAGTATCTTGAGTGCTTAGGACATTCTTATTTGAAGATACTTACCTAATGAGCTATTGACAGACTGAAGAAAATTAAAAAGGAACCCTCTAGCTTTTTGAGTTTTGAACCAGTGGTTTGTGCTGGAAACTGGAAAAATTTAGAGCCATGAAGAAACGCTCCTCACTAGGACTGAATGTTAAAGGGAGCCTGTGGGGAGCCTGAAAAACTTGCTAGTTGACCACCTGCATCAACTTATTGAGTGGAAGTGGGAGAAACACAGCAATAAAGAGATGGGTTGAGTCTGGCCACTGACACCCTTGGTCTTGGTTCATGGGGACTAAAGGAGAAGATGAGAGTGGATTGGCTTGTATGAAGTTCATGACCTCGTCCAAGGGGGCTAGGGTTGTTGAGAATTTGTGAAGGACCTGTGGTCAAAAGGCAAGGCAGCCAATGGTTACCCTGGTGAGACTAAGTGAGGTGGCATACATTGAGTTGACCAGCACCCAACTAGATGAAGATAAGGTTTTTGAGCCTGTGAATTGATGCATATTGTTGCTGACTTCATGGACTGCCAGCCCTAGTTTGACTTTGCTAATGGATGCAGACTCACAAGGTTGCAAATGGAATGAAGATTCTTCACATAAAAAAAAACATGCTTGTCTTAGAACACTGGATTGATATAAGTGGGCAATATAGAAATTGTATACCCAAAATGGGCATTGGATACCCAATAAAGTCATAAAATGCCTGGCTTACAAACTTTCATAGGTGGGGGAATATGTTCATAGAATTATAGGATTATGGTATAGGTGTTCACATAACTGCACTTATTAGGCATAAATAATTTTTGTTTAGTTCACTTGTAGAATATTATGTTTAGATGAGGCTGGCACATTTTGAATTGTATGCATGTTTTATCCTAGTACCACAAATATGATTTTACTATTGTCTTTATTTTTTAAATTATGTGTATGGCTAAAGAGTTGTGTGAATGTGTCTAGTTGACAAGGGGTGGTCAGTGGTATTTACATAATTTCATGTCAACTAAATAAATAAAGTGAAAGAGTGGAATTTGGCCTGTCAATCAGGTCACAGACTGTTGATGCCTCCTGGTGGAGTGGCCTTCTCTTGAGGATTCTGGGAACTTCCTCTCTTTCTCCTTTGAGGGGGCTGTATACTGTCACTGCTGTACCTTCCTGTTGACAAGCCATATGGACCCACACTGGTGGCAGCCAGAGCCCTGGAGATGTGTCCACCACCATTGGATCCTTAAGACTTTGCACGCACTAGCCTGTGATCTTCCTACATTTTGCATCATTGTATGTGTTGTGTGAGTCTGAAGAGGAATTTATAGACTAGTATCAGACATATGGGCTAATATTGGACTTGTGCACTTGATCTGGACTGGGCTGGGATGTTTTCTCAATATACAATTACCTTTTGATATAAAGCTCTCTTATACATGTATGAGTATCTCTTGATTTGTTTCTCAAGTCAATCTGTTCTAAAAGACACATGCAAGCAAAAATTTCCTGACGATCATTCAACAAGTCACAACAGTACATTGACAGGAAGCTGCCAGAGGTTCAGGCTAGATTCAGAAGAGGACTTCGATTGAGGGATATTATTGCTGACAGGTGGATCTTGGCTGAAAGCAAAGAATATCAGAAAAATACTTACTTGTTTTTTATTGTCTATTTAAATGCATTCAGTTATATGGACCAAAGCATACTATGGATAACCTTGAGAAGAATGGAAAGCCCAGAACACTTTAGTGTGCTAATACTGAACTTGTACATGGATCAAGAAGCACCTGTGGGAACAGAACAAGCGAATACTGTGTGGTTTAAAATCAAGAAAGGTGTGCATCAGGCTTCTATTCTCATATTTATTTAGTCGGTATGCTGAGCAAATAGTTAAAGAAGCTGGATTATATGAAGACAAATGTAGTGAAAGAATTGGAGGAAGGCTTATTCAATATGCAGCTGATACAAGGTTTTTTTGCTGAAAGTGAGGAGGACTTTAGGCACTTGCTGATCAAATCAAGGATTGCAGCCTTCACCATGGATTATAACTCAAAAGAAAAATTGTCATAGCTGGACCAATAGATAAAATAATGATGAAAAGATAAGGTTGAGGTTGTCAAGGATTTCATCTTGCTTGGATCCACAATCAGTCTTGACTCAACAGTTAAGAGATTAAATGATAAATTGCATTGGGTAAATATACTGCACATGCCCTCTCTAGATTGTTGAAAAAAAAGGATGTTACTTTGAGGAAAATACCAAGCCATGGTATTTTCAATCACCTTGTATGCATCTAAAAGTTGGACATTAGGAAGACCGAAGAAAATTTGATGCGTTTGAACTAACAATGACAGCCCAATAGAAACAAAACAAAATAGAAAAGAACAAATGCTGGAAAGAGTACAGAGAGATTGGAACACTCATATCCTGCTTGTGGGTCTATATATGTACAACCATGGAGGAAAGAGATCTGGTGCCACCTCACACAACTGGGACACGAAAATCCCATATAATCCAACAATACCTCTGCTGAGCATTATACCCTAAAGAAGTAAGAGCCATAGCATGAATAGAGATCTGCACACCCATTTTTGTTATAGCACTGTTCACAAAACACAAAGCAAGAAACAGCCCAAAGGCCCATGGCTAAAGAAACTTTGGTACATACTGTACTTTGCCAAAAAAATGATGAAACCATGAAGTATCACTTGACGTGGATGGGCCTGGAGAACATCATGCTCAGTGGTTAGTCAATCACAAAAGGATGAATATTATATGACACTGCTACTTTTATAAAAAATACTTTTATAAAATACCATTTTTATTTTACCAAAATAAAGACTTAGATGCCAAAGGGAACACTTCGGATGTTACAGGGGTGGAGAGAAAGGGAAGATGAAGCAAGGATACATAGGAATGTTGATTAGAGGGTTGATACATGTTTACCTTTGGGGAAGGCAAGGGTGGAGGTCCACAAGTGCGAGAAGAGAAATCAGCAGGAGTGGTTAGAATATGGGACGGGGGCAGTTTCATGAGTGGTTTAAACTGTTGAATGCAGAGATGATGGCCAAAATTCAAACTTTCCACTTAATCATACACACAAAAATATTTTACAATAAAAAGAAAGCAAACCATATGAAACACAGCTCTAGTCTGATGAGTGGCATCCCAATGAGCCAGTTAACTCACTGGCAACTGGTTTTACCATGGGCCAAATCCTGTACTGTGTTGTATACAGACATCACAGTAAAGCTAAGACATTTAACTAGAACCTATCTGATGCTTGAAATATTCGCCATTTTCTCAACAAAATTCTCAACTTCCATACTCACCATTTCATCCATTTCTCCAATCAAATCCAATCATATCCTCCTTTTTACGTGTGTGGGCCTTTGTTGCAGAGTTCATGTAGGAAACAATGAACTATTTGCATTAGTTCCACTGTCAGTTGACTTTGCAGAGGGGGTACCCCCAACAAAATGAAAAAAAAAAAAACCCAGCTCCTGTGGGCAGAGCTTTTCTTAGTATGCATTTTCCCCACTAGGTAATCATCAAGCAACTACCTCTGAGTTAATGCACCCAGTGGTGTTGCTTGGGGAGGTTCTCTCTGGTCACAGTCAATTTTTTCATAAAAGCAGTTTCACTCAAACCTAATTTTTTGTGATGTCCAACTTAAGAGAGCAGCATAGCGGGGGAGGGGGGGGGGTGTTAAATTTTGTTTCCTGCTTGGGAAAAATGCCACAGAAACTGTTATGATGTTGAACACAGCTCCCAAGGACAACACTATGGGATAAACTTAAGTGTATGAGTGGTTTACTTATTTCAAAAAAGGTGAAATGTGGATTGATGATAAACCTTCTTCTGGACAACTGTCAACTTCCCAAACATGTGCAAATATCAACAAAATGTGTGCGCTTGTGTTCAAAGACTGATGACGGACCATTGAAGAGATGGGGAAGTTATCTGGACTATCTTAGAGCTCAGTTCAACAAGATTTGGGAATGAGAAGTATCACTGTGAAGTTTGTGCCTCGGGTTCTGGCTTAGCAGGAAAAAGAGCACTGAGTGGAGGAGACATGCTGTGCTTTGAAAGAACAGCTCCAAAGGGACTGAGACTTTTTCCCAGGGGCATTACTGGTGATGAGACATGGTGCATTCTGATGACCTTGAAAGCAAGCATCGATAAGCCAGTGCAAGACGCTCGTCAAGTGAAATCAAAGATCAAGATGATGCTTGTTTTGTTTTATGTGAGGGCGATAGTACACTGGGAGTTCATTCCACCATGCCAGACAATTAGGAGGTGCTGGAAAGATTGCATAACAGTGTGCAACAAAACAGGCCTGATTTGTGGCAGATAGGGAACTGGTTTTGTCACCACAATGCACCTGCTCTTACAGCCAACTCAGTGCGTCAGGTTTTGGCAAAAAACAGCCTGCTTTTCTTGCCCCACACACCTTATTCACTTGATCTCAATCTGTGGGACTTCTTTTTGTTTCTGTGAATGAAGAGGGACGTGAAAGGACTGCGATCTGATGATGTAGAAGAGTTAAAAAAAAAAAAAAAAAAAACAAGGGAGGTGCTGTCAGCCATCCATACAGATGAGTTTGAAAAGTGTTTCCAAGTATGGAATCACAGATTTGATAAGGTTGTTTTATTAAAAAAAATTAAATGCGTTCCAGTTCCTTTGGGTACCCCCTCATATTCTCTACTGGTCCTTAGTCTTTCCCTCTGCCATTTTGCACACGGACTTGCTTTTTTTTTCTTCCTGGTTTTACTGGAAATCACAATATACATATTTTTTTTATATTATATAAACAAAAATTGCTCCGGTTAGGCAGAATTTATTTGACAATAAAAATGTTTATGTTTGTTTGTTTGAAGGACCTGTATGCTGTTATTAATGGTGGCGTTAAGGAAACCACAGAACTTCTGAAGCAGCGATTTGACCACATTCTCTATACAGGAAGTACTGCAGTTGGAAAAATTGTCATGGAAGCTGCTGCCAAGCATCTGACCCCTGTGACTCTTGAACTGGGTGGGAAGAGTCCATGTTATGTTGATAAAGATTGTGATTTGGACATTGCTTGCAGGTGAAAGTTATTCTTTGTTTATCTGAGCATTTCCGGTTATCTGGAAACAAGTTAGTGTATTTTGTGTGTGTGTGAACCTTACACTTTGTGATGTGACTCAGAAACATCATTAGACTTCGATGGCTTTTGTCCTAAGGGTAACAGAACTCAAAAACACATGATCTCTTAATGCCATTATCAAAAAAAAAATGAACCTTCAGACTTAATGTCATGCAGTTATCCTCAATGTCATGCAGTTATCCTTAGAATTATGACTCCCCCCCCTGTTTTTGAGATTTATAGATAGATATATAAGGCAAGGGGATTTACTTTTCTGGCAAATGATCCAAGAAGGAGGGCAATCCAAATATGTAGACCTGATAAAAGTCTTTAGCTTATCAACTCTCTTACCTGAATTCCTTTGTTGACAAAACCAATAGTCCTCATCTTTTCATTTTAAGTAGCATTTTGGACTTGGAAACTAGAAAGTCATAGGTGTTGGACTCTATCTGTACAGTCAGGTTTAACGACCAGGAAGTGCCAAAACAGAACTGACTGTCCTCATGTGGTACAGCGGCCTCTCTCCTTCAGAATTGCGGCACAAAAAGGAATTAGATCATTAGCTTGGCTTCATAAGCATAAGTAGAAGTCGGGTTTCCAGAATGTGAGACCCTCAGTTAGTGAAGGCTCGGGCTGTGGGCTTCTATGCATACCTAGAAACAGGATTTCAAGTGGGGGAAGGGCTCCACACAGAGGAGAGTGGGTTTGCTGCCTAGACCTAAAGTGACAATAGCAGAGGTAGAGTGTGCAGAAATTCTGTCAACTAGGATGTCTTCAGGTGGCAGTAGGCTGTTTCTCTTCTTTTCCTGCAGCAGTCAATGGTCTCACTGCTTATAAGAGACTGCTTCCTATGGGCTTGCTTCGGAACAATCTACCTCAGTCAGAAAATACATTCTAAGTTGGTTGAAATCAACCGACACAGATAAGTTTATTAAATGTTTTTAATAAAGATTACCAAGTAAATATTTGAGTACATGATTAGTTTTAGAACATTTAAACAACTCAAAACAAATAAATATTAGAATGAATTATAGAACTATTTTGTTTTTTCCTACTGGCTCCCACTGCTACCCACAGACGTATAACCTGGGGGAAGTACATGAACTGTGGTCAAACCTGCATCGCTCCGGACTACGTTCTCTGCGAACCTTCCCTCCAGAATCAAATTGTGCAGAAGATTAAGGAAACCGTGAAGGTCTGTGTTTAACACATCTGATTCCATTTATTTCATTAAGATATGGAGTCAAATTAACTGTTAGCAGGCAGCAGCTTATTCCTCCATAGTTCTAGGTAGGAAAATAAAATCACATTTGTGACTGAATTTATGTATTAGTTAAATAAAAGTGTTCTGTACATGTTTTATAGATGGTGGAGGACATTCTACTTAAGATGCACAAGGTTAAGAGGATTTTAAAATCATTTGAATTGTGTAGTTGATTTGCTGGTGAAACAGCTAGTTATTGTGGCACATACCTAAACATAAAAGTCAAATAAATAAATGTGTTTGTGGTGTTGCAAAAACATAGTCACTGTAATTGTTGAGTTGTATTTGCAGACCCTTTGGCATACTGAGTGAAGATTATCAGGGCTTATGTATGTGAAGGATATAGAGTAACCTGTTGGTGAGTAGAGTTAATTAAACACCTACTCAGAGTATACTCTTTACATGTTTATTAATCTTTCAGTGTTTAAAGTAAAGATCTTCAGTGAGAGCATTAGGGAAATCTGCATGATTATGTTCTGAACTCACTCTCAAAGGAAATACAGGCTTGGATTGATGAAAAGGAGTGGAATGAGACAGTGTGTCTAAGGATAGTGCTGAGAGGGAGTTACCCTGGAACCCAGCGTTATAGCCTGGGTGGAATACATGATAAGAATAATCATTATTTATCAGAAGATGCTAATTGAGCACTGAAAGAATCAAGAATTCCAAAGAATAGGATATATGATCAGGGAATGAACATCATATGCCAGATGGTTTATAATGGGCTCCAAGCAGGGTAACTGGGGATGACATGAAAATTAAACAATTGTGAGAGATGTAGAGATCGATCCAGCCGAGGACAATGTGCATGAAGTGATGCCTGGGCAGCTCAGAAGAGAGAATCAAAGTTGCCTGTGAGATTGAAAGAGGAGCCCTGGTTGCATAGTGCTGATGCATTAGGCTGCTAACCAGAAGGTGAGCAGTTTGGAACCACCAGCCACTCTTTGCTCCAATAAAGAGTCACCGTCTCAGAAACCCACGGAAGCAGCTCTACCTTGCCCTTCAGGGTCACCGTGAGTCAGAATTGACTCAATGGCATCAAGTTTGGTTTTTTTGGTGTGGTGAGGTTAAAAGGATTTGAGTGGAGAAGTAGTTAGTTGAGGATGGTGATTAACTCAGTTTTAAGAAATCAGGACCTCTTTATATTTGAGATAATTCATACTCCAATGCGATAGTTTTCAGCCTAGTTATACATTAAAATCTTAGGAGAAGCATTTAAAACTAAGTTTCCAGTCCAAACACTTGAAAGATTATGGCTTCAGTTGTCTGGGGACACCAGGTGATTATGAGGTGCCACCAGCATTGCAGATCACTCTTGGTAGCTCTAAGCTTTAATCACTGTCACCAGTGATTAAAGCACTTGTCTGCTAATGGAAAGTTCTGTGGTTCAAATAAACCAGCTCCTCCAGGAGAAAGATGTGGCAGTCTGCTTCTTCACAGATTTATAGCCTTAAAAACCCGAGAGAGTAGTTTACTCTCTCCTGTGAGTTGGAATTCTCGCAGTAGCAGTGAATCCTGGTTGGGTTTGTAACTCTGGAGGTGGGGCCTAACTGAGAACATGCATTTTAACAAACAGCTCCCAGACTTGAGAATTACTGTTGAGGAGTGGATCATTCATTTTTAAATTGAGAGCTCTCATAAGGCTTTAAAGTGATACGTTACAATTGTTGCAAGAAAGAGCAACAGTTTTATAGTTTTGTGGTTATTGTACCTCGTAAATATTGATTGATGAGTGTTAAGGTTCTTCACCTTGGTTAATTTACCAAACTATATTTTAATTCTTTGGGTGATGGTTTCAGAGAAGATACAAACATCAAAATGGAGCAGAGGTCACATCTTTCTGTAAAGGGCTAGATAGTGAATATTTTAGGCTCTGAAAGCCATGAGACAGACCGCTGCTGGAACTACTTAGCTGTATTGCCTTGTTGCTAGTACATAGTGAATAAGTGCCCTGGTGAAGAGCAAGACTCCTCCTACTCGCCCTTCCCCTTCACCCTCAGGAGAACCCTGGGCCCCCTGAAACTATCAGATAATAGATCTCTGAGTGTTTGCTTTTGTTTCTTGTCCTTGACCTGCCAAAAAGCTTGTTTATTACTAGTATACTACTATCAAGTTATTTGTGGAGGGTGATGGGGAATGTTGGATTCTATAAGGATAGATTTTGGGGGGCATGGATGTATTTTGTAACTTATTAAAGAAGTTGAAATATGGCTGTTTTATAATAAATAAATACTGTTTTAAATAGGAATTTTATGGAGAAAATGTAAAAGAGTCTCCTGATTATGAACGGATCATCAATCTTCATCATTTTAAGAGGATAATAAGTTTGCTTGAAGGACAAAAGATAGCTTTTGGTGGGGAGACTGATGAGGCCACACGCTACATAGGTAATAGAAATTTACCTTTTCCTATGGGAAGATGACAGTTACAGTTTTTGCTGAAATTAAAGAATTTATAAATATATAACATTTCAGTATGCCAGAAAACAGAATTTATTAGCTTAATGATAACATTAATAGTTTAAATTATTTAAGCTATTCAGTAGTTTAAATTATTTAAGCTCTTTAAAAGCATTTAACAATTTAATAATAGTTTTAAAATGTAATAATTTAGTAATAGTCAATTAGTTACATATGTAACTCTTACATAGTGCTTTCTCACATACTTTTCTTATAAACAATAAAAAATATAGGTATATGTTTAATAAATGCCACCTGTGTTGAATTATTTTTTCAGTACTTAAACATATATTATCTAATTTTTTTCTCTTTCTAATAACCTTTAGATTCAGAATACAATCACGTGTAATTGTTCATATTTTATGGATGGGAAAACAATCCAGAGGAGAAACTAGCCATTTCCACAATTAGCCAATGGCAGTATTATTTCAAAACAAATCTTTTGATCTGTTGTACTTAACCTGATTCATATCTTCTTTATGTTTTTAATTTTTTCCATGACTATGTCTATTTTTTAATTTAAAACACATTTTTCCCAAAAAATAACATCCAAGGTGATAGAAGAATTATAAGCACATTTAGTTGGCAAAAAAAGCTGCCCCAAAGTGCTTTGCTTATGAGATAGAGCTCTGAAAGTTGCACAAAACAGTTTAAAGAACCAATAAAAGATATATTCTCCCCAAGGTGGCTGCTGCCTAGTTGACTTCAATACATAGCAACCCTATAGGACAGAGTAGAACTCCCCATAGTATGCCAAGCCTTTAAATCTTTACAGAAGTAGATGGCCACGTCTTTCTCCCACTCGGTGACTGTATTCAGAAGGCATGTTGTTGATTTGAGTCCCAAATAGAGATGTCCACAAAAAGACATAAACCTAATCATGAATAGGCATAGGGTCATCTATTTCTGTGTGTGTGTATGTATGTGTGTGTATATACAGATTTTATATATATATATACACACACACATTTGTGCAAAGCATATATATATATATGTTTTGTAAAAAAAATCCCCTGCTTGGAGACATTTGATATTTGCACAGATTAATACATATAGCTTATGATATTTATTTTTCAAGATAAGAGTGGCAGTGGAAAAATAATGATCAGATGGCCCTATCTGGAAATGAAACACGTGTCTCATGTCTCGTGGGAATTCTGCATTTTTGCTTCTACATTATGCAGTTTCATTTTGCTTTCTTTTTTTTTTTCTTTTTAGCCCCAACAATACTTACTGATGTTGACCCTAAAACCAAGGTGATGCAAGAAGAAATTTTTGGACCAATTCTTCCAATAGTGCCTGTGAAAAATGCAGATGAAGCCATAAAATTCATAAATGACCATGAAAAGCCCCTGGCTTTTTATATATTTTCTCATAATGATAAGGTAAACTTCATAGAGAACAATTTACCATCACAAGTCACTATCATAAATCATTTCACTCCTTTGCTGTAAAGCAAATAATGTTTTATCTTATATAATATTAGAGTAAGGATATAGTCATAGATTACTATCTTGAGTAATGAACCCCTGGGTTATCACTGTATCCTTTCTCATACACCCTAGGGTTATATTTGAGTCTATAGCAGTATCTCCCGTCTTTTGACTGACAAATGTGTCCAGTATAATTGGAAGAGTTCTATAGCCCAGCATTAGTTGCTTTTCTGGCATTCATCCACAGGGGCATTCTTATATAAGAGCCTTCCCCTTGCACTTAAATGGCATTGGCAGACACTCAACTGTGGCCATATAGGATGAAGATCTCTGTCACGGTCATGTAAACACTTGTGGTATCTTGGATTTCAGTTTCTAAAATTGAGTCACTTTTTTGTTATTGGTAGAATCCCAATAGATTGAAAATTTTTGGAGGATTATTTCAAGGCACATTACTAGTACTGGCTACCCTGAGGGAAAAAGATAAAAAGGGAAAACTGAAGAGCGAAGCAGGTAAATGGGACCAATCAAGATCTGAGACATTCAAAAGCAATTGTTTTTCTGGAGAGCTTCTGATGGCTCTGCACAGGCAGTCATGTGACCATTTTTGAAGCTTGAATCTAGTGGCAACACTGATATTGTAAGTATTTGAAGTGAGACAAACTGTGATTTGGATGTAGAGAATGGACTATTGTGCTCCCTTCAGCAGCACATACACTAAAATTGGTACAATACAGAAAAGATTAATATGGCTCCTGCGTAAAGATGACATGAAAATTTGTGAAGCCTTCTGTATATATTTTTTGTTGTTGTTAAAGAATGGACTATTAACAAAACAATGGTCCGACATATAAACTTAACATAGAAAGTATATACAAAACCCTGAAGTCTAAAATATATTGGCCCAGGGTGCAACTGGGGACAGGGAGTTGGGGTGAGGGGAAGGGAACACTTTCTATCAGTTGGGTCATCTGATGTGCTACAGTCCATAGTTGGCCTTAGCTACAAACTAGTCTCAAGAGCTTGCTAGCCCTAAGGTGAAATGACATAGACCAGCAAAGAGTAATTGTGCTTACTTAAATATTAAGCTAGTCATTTTTTCTTCAAAAATAGTGTGCTAAATCTTAAATTATTTTTTATATTTCATGCAACCAACAACAAAATAACCTACTAGTCATGTGCAGTGATTTAAGATAGAGAAAACATTAAATATTTTTTAAAACTGAAATATAATCTAAACTACCTATTATGTACCTTTTACTATTTGGGGTTTGTAAACCTGTAGGTGGTGATTGAGCTAGAAGCCCTGAAGATTCAAGGCCGAGGAGATATTGCTAAATTGAGCCATGATTTAGATCATTTATCCGTTTGGTCATACTTGTTTATGTACATATCAGTTTGCTTATGTACTTAATCATGTCAAAGGGACATGGTATTCCCAGACCTGAGACTCCTGCTGAATACAAAGGTTGAGCACAAAGCCTTTCTATTGAGTAAGTGTGTGTGGACCCATGATCATCTGTGGTTCTGACCTAGAAAACTTTACTTTGTTACCTAGTTGATCAAACAAATGATTGATGAAACATCCAGTGGTGGCGTCACAGGCAATGATGTTATCATGCATTTTACACTCAATTCTCTACCATTTGGAGGAGTTGGTAAGTATTGCTTTCTTTTATCCGTGGTAAATATTTTACCCCCACAGGGTATTATGTACCTCGCCAGCATTATTAGCAAGCAGTCCAACCTCCTTGGTGGGCCACAAGCACCCAATCATTTGGTGATAATTAAAGACCATGATTGAAAAAGCTATATAAAAGCAAGTACATTGGAAAATTTCCCTGTGAAGTTGAGCTTTTGTATATCTCCATGTGCAGTATGTGGTTGCCCTGTAATTCCCAACACTGTAATCCTATTACCAGGAATATTGCTAAAGCTAAAAAACATGTTTACTTTTAATTTGCTTTTTTTATTAGTGAGGTTTGAACTCACTATTAGTGAGTTTTGCAGTTCTCGTGGATTTTCTGTTCATTTCCTTTGCTTGATATTTTCCTTTTGTTCACTTTTTTCTTACTGATAGTAAGTACCCTTTTATAACTAAGAAAATCAATTGCATGATTAAATCTGTAGCAAATGTTTCTTTCCAGCTTGCAATTTATCTTTTAATTTTGTGTATGATTTCAAACATTTATGTAATTAACCCATAAATTTCTAATGCACTTTACTTATGATTTCAGATTTTGGAGTTGCACTAGAAAAATCTCTATTTCAATGCTTTATAAATATTCATCTGTATTCCTTTAAATTTGTAATGGGTTGTCTCTTAAATTTAACCAGGGAGTTATTTTTCCCCCAAAGAGTAAACCAATTTTCCTGGCACCATTTAAAAATATATATTTATTATTTGAAAAATTGATTTGAAGTGTTATATTCTATGTAGGATGGATTCTCTACAGATGCAAAACCAGTGATTGATATATGTATACACCATACATACTCGAGTATAAGATGAGTTTTGTTCAGCACATTTTTATGCAGTTTTTGTGGTAAAATTAGGTGCCTCAGCTGATGTTCGGGTCAGCTTATGCTCGAATATGATATATATAAAGAAAATGACTGACAAACTTACAAAAGCAGTAAGTCCAGCCTAGTTCAAGTCCATGAGTCAGAAGTTAAGCTGGAGGTTCTTCCTAGCATGTGTAGATGCTGGGCCAGGCAGGAAGCAGGAAAAGTATCTAGGAATCAGGAAAACCCCAGGCTGGTTGAAGTCTAGGCAGATGTTAGGGTGTCTAACTCATACTTGCAGAGTCAAATGAATCCAAAATTGGCAGGCAATATGGCAGGCCAAGATTCCCAGGATCACAAGCAAGACAATGGGCTGTTGGCTCAAGTCCAGAGAACTGGGGTTAGATGCCACAAATGCAGGATCAGCACCACAAGGCCACACCCCCAAGAGAAAGTTTATTTCAGTTGCATCAGGGCTGTGGCCCAAGTTAGGTGGCTACATTCCTCCTTGATTCTCTTACAACTGCCTTACTGCTGACACTAGATCCCATAATAGAGTTGATTATACCATTAGGTCACCATTAGTTGATTATACCATTATACCACTATACCATTAGAAAGACCTCAAATGTCAAACTACCAAGAGTCCTGGTCTAGCCAAATTGACACAAAACCTAACAATCATACCTCCATCAAGAGCACTCAATAAAGGAAGAAAGTGAGTCTGTTCCTGTAAAGAATTGTAGTCTCAAAAACTCATAAGGAGCAATTCTACTATGTCCTGTACGGTCACTATGAGTTTGTCATTTTGTCGGACTTGGTGCTTGTGTGTTGCTTTGATGCAGAAGGTATGTCAATGACAGTTCATATGAACCAGAGTCAACCAAAGTGAATAGGTTTCAACAGAACATTTAGATGAAGAACAGGCTACAAAGATGGAATAGGCTGCCCACTTTTGAGGAATTAACCACGGAAAACCTCATAAATAGCAGTAAAACATTGTCAGCTATACCATCAGTTGCTCATATGTAAGTTTAGATTGAAGCTGAAAAAAATTAAAACAAGTTCATGAGAGCCAAAAAGCAAATGAATATATTCCACTTGAATCCTGCGACTATATCAAGAGCAGATTTGCTGTTTTGAACACTAGTGACAGAAAACCTGGTGAGCTGTGGGGTGATAACAAGAAGATCATATATGAAGAAAACACATCGTCTTTTAGAAAGGAGCCAAAAGAAGACAAAAAGGAATGTCAGGAAAGACGGAAACTTGCTCTTCATCAGAGTCGCTCAGGCAAATGGAAGAAACGAATGAAGTGAAAGAACTAAACAGACACTTCAAAGGCAACTAGAGGAGACAAAGTAAAATACCATAAGGAAATGTGCAAAGATCTGGAGTTAGGAAACCAAAAATGAAGAACACTCTCAGCACACCTTAAGCTGAAGGAACGGAAGATAAATTCAAACTGCAATATTGAAAGATTCTAGAGCAAAATAATGAATGATGCAGGGAGCATCAAAAGAAGATGGAAAGACTATATAGAGTCACGATACCAAAATGAACAACATTCCACCATTTCACGAGATCGCATATGAGCAAGAACTGGTGGTACTGAAGGCGTTGGTGAAAAACAAGGCTCTGGGAACCGATGGGATGCCAATTGAAATATGTCAACAAGCTGATGATGTAACCACACACCTATGCCAAGAAATTTGGAAGACAGCTACCTGGTCAACTGATTGGAAGAATATACCTTTGTTCCAATTTGAAAGGAAGGTGACCCAACAGAATGCACAAATTATATCCATGGTATTCAACCTGTGGGTCATAGCAAACTTTAGATAACATTGAGAAGAATGGGAATTTCAGAATTGTGTTTCTGCGGAATTGGACATGGATCAAGAGGCAGTAATGGGAACAGCACAAGGAAAAACTGCTGGTTTAAAAATGAAAGATGCACATAAACGTTGTATCCTCCTCCATATGTATTCAATCTGCATGCTGAGCAAATAATCAGAAAAGCTGGACTACGTGAAGAGAAGCATGGCATCAGGATTGGAGGATGGCTTATTAACAACCGCTGCAGATGATGCAACCTCGTCTGGTGAAAGTGAAGAGGACTTGAGGGACTTGCTGATGAAGATCAAAGATTTCTTCTTTCATATGGGTTATAGCTCAATAGAAAGAGGATCAGAATCCTCATAACTGAACCTTAGTAGGTGAACATGATAAATGGGGAAACATGAAAGTCAAGGATTTTGTCTTGCTTTGCTCCACAATCAATGTTCATGGAAGCAGCAGTCAAGAAATCGTTTGGGGTAAATTTGCACAAGACTTTTAAAGTGTTGAAGAGCAAGAATGTTACTAGAGGGCTGACCCAAATAAACCATGGTATTTCCAACATGTGTATAAAGGTCAGGCTTTGAATAAGGAAGACCAAAAGGAATCAATACATTTGAATTAGGGTGCTGGCAAAAAATATTGAAACTATCATCTCCTACTAAAAGAACAAACAAACTATCTTGGAAGAAGTACAGATAGAAGGCTCTGTGTAAGTCTGGGTACTTTAGAAAAACAAATCCACAGAAACTCATGTATAAGAGAGAGTTTTATATAAAGGTTAAGTGTGCATCAAGAAAACATCCTTACCCAGTGCTGCCCAAGCCCACAAGTCCAACATTAACCCATTAACCCATATGTCCAACACCAATCCACAAAGTCCTCCTCCATCTCACAAAACAGACAATGATACTGACTGCAAGAGGAAAGCCGAGTCAGTGAATGTGTAAGCATCTCAGTGCTGGCAGGGGTCTCCACACGGCTGCTCCAGTACCCAGGGCTGCATCGGGGTAGGTCCATATGGCTTCTCCTTGGGGATGTATTGCAGGAAGTCAGCCTTGCAAGGTGAATCAGGGAACTGGTACCCTGGTGTGACCACCAGAAAGAAAGAGACCCGAGAACTAGAAAGGTGAGGCTCACCAAGCCATTTATCCCACCACCCTTCAATTAACCCCACATGTGTGTATCAGGAACTTTGGCACACCAAACTAACTCAATTCACCCCTTGCCAACTTAGCACATGTATATCAATCTTTAGCCTTAAAATTGAAATAGGAAACACCTAGACCTTAATCCTATAATCCTGTGAATATGTTCCCATGCCTATAAAAGTTTGTAAGCCAACCACTTCATGCCTTTATCCCCCCAATTTTGAGTATCCAATTTATATACTGCCCACATACATCAACCCAGTTCTCTGAGAAGACAGTCATATTTTTTGACATTAAGAGTCTTCATTCCAGTTGGAACCTTGTGAAGTCTACATCCATGAGCAAAGTCAAATCCGGACAGGCCATCCATAAAGTCAGCAACAATATGCACCAGTTCACAGGCTCAAAAATCTCCATCTGGTCAGCTTCTGGTCAACTCAGTGTGGGCTACCTCACTCAGCCTCCACAGGGTGCCCATTGGTCGCCGTGCCTTTAAACCATGGGCTCTCACCAATACTCAACAAGCCTAGCCCCCCTCGTGCTAGGTCATGAACCTTAGACCAGTCAACCTGCTCTAATCTTCTCGTTTTCCTGTAAATCAAGTCCACAGGTGTCAGTAGCCATACTCAACCCGGCTCTTTATTGCTGCATTTCTCCGACTTCCACTCAACAAGTAGATCCAGGTGGTCACCTAGCAAGCATTTCAGTCTGTTCTCAGGCTCCGTTTAACATTCAGTCCCAGAGAAGAATTTTCTTCATGGTTCCAGATTTTTTCCAGCTTCTGACATTTTTTCCAGCATTGGTTCCTGAGTACTGCAAAGTACTGAGTGGAGCATGTATTTCAAACCTTTCTTTGCAGTCATGGCCTAAACCCATCTAAAGATCAAATTTTAATGGCTTGAGTAAGTGGGCTTACAAACTTTCTATTTTCCTACTTCCATATTTTCCCCAGAAAGCAACAGAGTAAACAGTGTGGCTTTATCTGACGTATGGCTAGACAAAGAAAAAGAGCAACCATGAGGGAGAGGTCAAACATCTACTCTCTATCTTATGCTTCGTTTCTCCAGTACCCCACTCCTGGTACCATAATGTGTAAATCTGGGTATTTTAGGGAAACAAATCCACAGAAACTCATGTATAAGAGAGAGTTTTGTATAAAGGTTAAGTGTGCATCAAGAAAATATCCTACCCAGTGCTGCCCAAGCCCACAAGTCCAACATTAACCCATATGTCCAACACCAATCCACAAAGTCCTCCTCCATCTCATAAAACAGAGGCAATGATACCGACTGCAGGAGGAAAGCCGAGTCAGTGAATGTGTAAACATCTCAGCACTGGCAGTGGTCTCCACTTGGCTGCTCCAGCACCCAGGGCTGCATCGGGGTAGGTCCATGTGGCTTCTCCTCAGGGATGTCTTGCAGGAAGTCAGCCTTGCCAGGTGAATCAGGGAACTGGTAAAGTAGCTGCACCCTGGTGTGGCCACCAGAATGAAAGAGACCCGAGAACTAGAAAGGCGAGGCCCACCAAGCCATTTATCCCTTCACCCTTCAATTAACCCCACCTGTGTTTACCGGCCAGGTTGGCACAATAAACTAACTACCTCAGGCTCCTTGGAAGCAAGGGTGGCGAGACTTCATCTTACATACTTTGAAAATGTCATCAGGAGAGCCCCGTCTGTGAAGAAGGATGTCATGCCTAGTAAAATAGAAGGACAGGGGAAAGAGGACTCTTTAACAAGATAGATTGACCCAGATTGGCACAATGGACACAAACATAACCATTGTGAGGGCAGTGCATGGAGGGGCAGTGTTTTGTCCTGTTGATCCAGGGTCACTCTGACTCGACAGCATCTAACAACAGGAAATAGTGTTGCCAGGATTGGACCCGAGTTGCCTGGTTTTAAAACCACTCCATTATTTGCTTTTCAGGATACGGTACTGTTTCGATATTTGGAATTAAAAGGTCCTTACCATAGTCTTTGAGCATTTTGTTGCCTATTTTATGAAATTTTATCTTCTAAAAAAACTTGAGAATCACTTTTCAGGTTCTCCTCTTTCTGTGCCTACTTCTTTGCCCTAGTCAAAAGCGAAAATTTCTGTACATCTCAGTATAAATTTATAAATTATTTTTCATAGAATTTAGATTTTTAAAATATGGAGTTATATGGGAATGTGCTATTTCTATTCATTGTATACAACTATTTTGTCCTTCAGTAGAATTTTGTGGCTTTCTTTCATATTGATTATTTACTTTTCACATTTTTATTATTAAGTATTTTTGACACACTTTTTCTTGACATTTGCTCTTTAACAGAGCATTTTCCCAGGTCAACATTATTTATGTATTTAGTGATGCCAGTTATGTGAGTCATGTTATAAGAATCCTTGGTGGTATAGTGAGTTAGGCATTGGGCAGCGAATTGAAAGGTCAGTGTTTCTAACCACCAGCTGCTCCATAGGAAAAGGATCAGATAGTCTACTTCTGTGAAGAGTTCACCCTCGGGAGCCATATCCTAGCCATAGGATTGCTGAGTCAAATTGACTTGATGACATTGGGCTTAGATTGGTCTAATCATGTTGGGCAACTGTCACCAATAACCATTGCCAAATTTTTCATTACCATAAATAGCAACCCACTGCTCCTTAAACAGTGACTCCTTTTCCCTATCCTAAGCTCCCCTGGTAACCACTAATAAACTTTGTTTTCTGTACAGTTGACTATTATAGATACTTTATATAAATCAGATCATACATTATTTGTCCCTTTTTACAAATGAGGTTTTCAAAGTTCATCAATATTGTAGCATGTATCGGGACCTCTCTTTTTATGAAAAAATAATTCCCATTTATAGATAGACTACATTTTAAAAATTGTTTATTTGTGAAGAAGCACTTCCTGCTTCTCCTCTACCCAAGGGTCAGAGTTTCTCCAGGTCCCTTAGTCCTCTTTTCACATCAGACCTGCTTCTGAAATAGTCCCTTCCTATAGCTTTAGGCACCACCTTACTGCTGATGACTCACCTGGCTTCATAACCCTGCCATGCTGGTCTGCACTCCTTTCTAGAGGACCACCAGCTGCTCTTTTGGGACAAAGATGGGATTGTCTGCCTCTCTAAAGATTTAAAACCTTGGAGACTATGTGATGAAGCTTTACTCTCTCCCAGAAGCTTGGTATGAGTGAAAGTTGACTAGATCTATAGCTTTGGGCATTTGGAGTTAGAGGAAATGAGTCAGGCCCTAATAAAATAAAGTACAAGAGCATTTGTAGAGTCAGGCTGATTCCAGGTTTGCGACCCTCCTCCCCTGGAACCTTCGTCATAATGCTTGCTTATTACCCTCAGGAAACAGAAAGAGTACATTTCTCAAAAAGATTGGAGTGAAGATTTAATTAGGTGATGCTTTTGAACTTTACCACAATCCCTGACATAAATGAGAGCCACTACTACCAAAGAGATACAAGTCCTGGCCCTACATTTGATAAATGTTCTATATGCTAGAGCAATTCAATTTGCTGGGGAACAAGTTCCTAAAAAGAACAGCATTCCTCATTCAATTGCACTTTTCTTTATTGTGCTTTGCAGATACTTCCATTCTTTTACAAATGGAAGGTTTGTAGTAACCCTGTGTTTTCTCTTGGATGCAGCTGGTGGTTTTACACTCCTGACTGTGGATAGCAGCTGAACACAACCCACTATGCCACTGGCACTCGTATAAACCAATTGCTATGAAGTTCTATTTCAGCAGCATGAGCGCTGGTGGCATAGCGATTACATGTTGGGCTGTGATCTGCAAGGCCAGCCATTTGAAACCATTAGCCACTCCTTGGGAGAAAGACAGTTCCAGTCTCAGAAACACTCAGGGGCAGTTCGATGCTGTCCCTCTGGTTACTGTGAGTTAGTGAGTTTGATACTCAATTATGTTTTTGTGTCATATTTTAGTATTTTGCACATTATATCAAATTTATTCTTGGTTCTTTCATACTTAATAGACTACAATATAGTATAAATATTACTTTTGTATATACTGGGCATTCAAAAAGTTATTGTGTCTTGCATTGTTGCCATACCCATTTTATTGAATGGTCTGGAACTGAACCTGCATTATCTCAAAACTACGCCTTTACTTAACTGCCAGAGAAGTGAAATGTTAGCATCCTACATAGAAAGGAATACCTGTGGACTTTCTTGGCCTGCATTGAGAGGATCATGCTCAGTGTTTGTTGTTGCTCACTACTCCTCACTGCCATGGAGTCAATTCTGACTTATAGCAACCCTATAGGGCAGAGTAGACTTGCTCCTGTGAGTTTCTGAGACCCTAACTTTTTGTGGGAGTAGAAAACCTCATCTTTCTGTCCTGGAGCAGCTGGCAATTTCCCATTACTGACCTTGTGGCTAGCAGCCCAAAATATAACCCATTTGCCACTAGAGCTGATGAAAATCAGTTGCCGTGGAGTTATTTTTGATTCGTGTGTCAGAGTAGAGCTTGGCTCCATAGTGCATTCAATGGCTGGCTTTTCAGATGTATATCCCCTAAGCCTTTCTTCTGAGGCTCCTCTAGGTGAACTCAAGCTCTATACTTTCACGGAATCACCGAATATGTCAACTATTTATACCACATAGGATACGTCCTACAGTGAAGCTCTTTTTTTGTCTCTTCCCTTTATTTCAGGTTCCAGTGGGATGGGGGCTTATCATGGAAAACATAGTTTTCATACTTTCTCCCATCAACGTTCCTGTTTATTGAAAAGTTTAAAGAGAGAAGGTGCTAACAAACTCAGATATCCTCCCAACAGCCAGTCAAAGGTGGATTGGGCAAAGTTTTTCATTTTGAAACGGTTCAACAAAGGAAAACTCGGCCTGCTGTTGCTGACTTTCCTGACCATTGTCACAGCCGTACTTGTCAAGGTGAGTACTCATGAGCTGTTAGTTTGATTGATTGCCACATACATGTTTTTCTTTATAAATAAACTATATTTCTTATATCTTTTAGAATCTGCTAGCCAACTACTTGATTTTATAAATAAAGTTTTATAGGAACATAATTATGCCTTCTACTCACTTATTGTCTGTGGTGCATTTGGTGTTGTTACAATGGCTAATTGAGTAAGTGGAACAGATTATATGACCTACAAGTTCTAAAATTTTTACATGAAAAGTTTGATAACTCTGTTCCGAGAGCATAAACTACTGTAAAATGTGCTTGCCATTCTATGTTTGCTAACCTTTCTGATCTTTTGCTACTGCTCTTTCATCGTAGTTTTAGTTTTATTCTTGAATGTGCGTGAAATCAGCATGCCCTAGTGGTGTAGGAGAATGGCTTGTGTTGGAGGGCAATGGTAGTAAAGTGACTTTGGTAGGGAATATTTGTCTTGGGTACCTTTCCTCCCGAGCTGATTACCAAAATTTATCTTGATGAGCAGTTGTTATATATAGATGGGCTTAGACCAGTGGTTCTCAACCTTCCTAATGCCACGACCCTTTCATACAGTTCCTCATGTGGTGGTGACCCCCAACAATAAAAATATTTTTGTTGCCACTTCATAACTGTAATGTTATGAATTGGGCGACCTTGATTCGACCCCTAAAGGAGTCCCGACCCACAGGTTGAGAACCGCTGGCTTAGACAAAGACCCTTATGATGGCTGCTTTTCTCAGGCTAGATGTGTCCTTCAGAAGAATGGAATTAGCTTTGAGGCATTAGCTTGCCCACCGAGGAAGTTAAAACTGTTTGATAGCATTTGGGAAGAGAATGAATCCAGCATTTATTGGAAATAATTGTGTGTGTATTTTGTTTAAAATTTGAGAGGCAATTGAGTTGTCTTATAATGGCATAGCTGTGGCAGTGGTGTGCTATCAGTTACATCACAGTTTGGTGGAATCAACGTTATCAGTTATATTTTAAATCATATGGATTTTCTCAGAAATACCAAACTCTGCTGAGGAAAAAGGCCCTGTCAATTTTCATGGTAGTTCATAGACTGCGGTGGTCCAGTAAACAGTGGTGAACCATCTCTGTCAACAGTGAGGTAGGAATGCCTTGTTTTATTTTTATACATAAGGTAGTCAAATTGGGCTTTTTTCACTTGTTTTGCTGCAATTTGGAGCCCGGAGATATTAGTAAACTCAATTTAGCCACAAATTGTAAAAAGAGAGCGTTATGTTGGAAATCTATGAGATATATGTAGACGAAGTTAAAAAAAAAAAACAGCCAGGATATTGAGCCCCTTTACTCTTCTACATCTAATGTAGTCTGAAAGAAGTGCTATTTTGACTCTGACCAAATTTCCTTTTTTGAATAAACTTGAAAATGATTCTTTTGAATATATCATGGTAATTTTTTTTTGTTTACTTTTATTTTGGTTAAAAGAGTTTGACTTTGAATTCATGGTAGCAAACAGTGAATCAAAACTTAATGGGTTGGAGCTTTCTGCTGCTATATCTTTTTGAGATTGAGGGTGTGGTTGGAGGCATGCTTGATTCTGTTATCTGTCTACTTTACTCAAAAAGACATGCTGCCTCTAGCCCAGGAGTTGGCACACTTTTGAGATGGAAGAGCCTATCCTGCCCTTCATGACAATTTAAACATTATTTGAGAATTAAATGAAATTATGAACCATTTGTTGTCTCAAGGGAACAACAAATGGTTCAAAACCAATGGTAGGGAAGGGATGGGAGGACTGGTAGGGAGTGACCAAGGGCAAGGCAACTGCGAGGAACTACCGAAACCAGAATGAAGGCTGAACATGGTATTGGGACAGGAGGAAAGCATAAAGAAATAGAGGAAAGAAGTAGGAGGCAAAGGACATACATACAAGCCTAAATACAGACATGTACATATGTAAATATATTTAAGAT